CTGCCCCGCGCAGAGCACGACTGGTTTGTCCACGCACTCCGCTGCGCCTTTTCAAATGGCCGCGCGCCCGACCGCGCTGCTCATTCGCTTTACAGGCCCGCGCGTCGTTGTGTTGTCATTGCGATTCGACGCGCGCGCTCCTCCGCACGTTGGGTTGCCTACCCGCCACGGCTGCCACGTGCTTCGGCACCCTCCCTACCCCGTCCCCGCTTTCCCTTTCTCTCTCGACGCCCCCTCCCTCCTCACCCCTTGAGCACTACAGCTCCCCCCTCTCTCTTGCCGAGCCGCCCTAAGCGCGGCGAACCTAATTTGTTTGCCATTGTTTCCCGCCATATTAGCGCCCCCTCCCCCACTTTTGCCATCTCCCGAGCCGCCCTCATTCCTTTTCTCTAAAGTTTCCTTTTTTCCCCAGCTTGGAGAGGCCCCCGCCCGAGCCAAGCAGTGGCTGCTTTCCCGCTCGTTCTGACCGGAAATTGAGAGAGCGAGAGAGAAGGGGGTGGGGGTTGGTGAGAGAGCGAGAGGAAAGAGAGAGAGAGCAAATTTTTGGGGAGAGGGGGTAGGGGCCGTTGAAGTGTCCCTTTCTGGCCGGCTGTTGCTGGCCGCCTGCCGCTGCCGCTCGGGTGCCGGCCCACTGCAGCAGGGAACGTGGTCGTGAACGAGAAAGCGAGAGGAGGGGAAAATATCAGCAAGGTCCTGCTCTCTGCGGTTTTGGATCGCAACCCCGCAGCACTAGGCGAGCACTGCACTGCTGGCTGCTGACCGGCCGTAGGCGGAGACGCTCGCCGCGACCTACATTCCCTCTCCCAGCCCGGCTGGGCAGAGGCAGCAGAGTTCTCTTGTGCCACAGTGGTGTCCAATACCCCGCCATCAATACGGTGTCCAGCGCCTACAAGGGGTCATTCGTCAGCGCCAGCAGGCCGCCGCCGCCCTGCCTCTGCCGCCCGGCCGGCCAGCTGGCGCGAGGGGCTCCTACCAACCACCACACGAGAAACATCAAATATCCGAATATCGAAGGGTGTATTTCGTTGCCGCCTCTTTTGCCCGCGGTTCCTAGGGCCTCCAAACCGTAATACGTCTTGCATGCGCCACTTCGACACCTCGACAAACGGGGGGTCGTCTCGTGTCGTCTTATACGCCGATCGTCTTATACGGGGCATAACTCAAAGATGATTTTTTTTCTGCAGAGTTCGGTTTGCGTTTCCATTAGCGATAAATGATCGGTTCGGGTGCTTTGATGAGAGTGAAGGAGGTCAGAGGACGCCCCTCTGAGTCGAGGGGAGGGCGGACCCATTCAAGGCCTGAGCCCGACGAGGGGCGCAGGGGCGGCGGGCGGCGGGGACACTGCAGCACCTGCAGGCGAGCGACGGTGCTTCACCGCGTCAAAGGAAGCCCTGGAGCTATTGCATTGCGCAACGAGTCGTACACCTTCCAAGCAATATCAATTACGGAATGCTGTCAGAAAGGACGCCAACGTGGTGCCTTCCCGAGAAACGGGAAATGAAAATAGGTACAGGTACGGGTAAATGTACACACTTCACGGCCGAATAAACGTGTTCGGGCAGTGCACAGTGCACGGGCACAGCTCACTCGGAAGGAAAATATTACTCACCGTACCTAGCGAGATACGTGCGCCAAGATGGAGTCCTTCGCCAAGAAAGACACAAAGTACAGTAGACTGCTGTCTGCTTGTTGCCTCGTTGGAATCAGAGCGTAAACCAAGCACTACAGATCGGCACATGTGGCAATACGATCCACACGAAAAGACACGATGCACACGAGCAGTACACGGAATGCAGTCAATAACAAAACGTTTCGAAACGCGAAGGACACTTGTCTAGCACTCGCTTGCGTTCGCGGCATGCACGGTTTAGAGTGGCTACGATTGTCATTTAGTGGATACATTCTAGCTGAAAGTCAGCCAATCAGAGGCCTCGAAAACCCAATAGAACGTTTCCAATAAATGACAATCGTAGCCAGTCTAAACCGTGCATGAGAAAGTTTTCGAGGCTGTCAGTTGTCAGGCAGAGATGTACCGGAAGTAGCTTTATTTTGTTGGCTTTCAAATTAATTATTATTTCGGTTTTTCATAAAGCGACAGTAAAAATACCGTGTGCTCAGAAATTGCAGTCAAACTAAATAAGAGCTACCCCGAACGAAATTTTTGTCGCTAGTCAGAACTGATAAGAACGGTCCGTCAATTTCTCATACATACTTCTTTCTAGTCATTTTCAAAATATAGTTCGCGGCGGTTTGTGATATTTGTTTTTGTCGTTTTTCGTGGTTTCATTATTATTTTGATCACTGTAAAGTGGTGTTGAATTTTAAAAACAGTAAGTGAGATGGTCTGTAGTGGAAAAGTGATCATTTCGTTCGTACAACACCACATCGGCGACTGTTGATTCTCCGCCAAGAGGTTATGTACTCTACTAGTTTCCACATCATGACGACAATGCTTGTACTTCGCCCACTATCTGAACCGGCAGGGATGGATCGTGTTTTGTGTAATTACATAACATCTGAGGTACGTAGAATTTCGAGTTGTGTAATAGTGTTGTGGCGCAGCACCTTTGTCATTTAGGGACCGTTCATATACTACGTAGTTCATTTTGGGGGGAGGGGGGGTTCAAAGCCTTGCACTACGGTCGTTCACGGAGAGGGGGGGGGGGCAGGCGCTGGTCACGTAGTATTCGACATACTCCTGTTTTGCGCTAGCAAAACGCCTCGTCGTCTGCTCTGATTCGTTCTAATAGACTCCTTCCGACTACAATTTTATCCGTTTGGCGCTATCTTTCACCGTTTGGTCGCTAGGCGTTTCCTAGCTTGTGCGCCACTTTTTAGATGGAAACAAAATATGGTTTTACTATGTGACCGGTGGGGATAAGTGGGGTTGGCTTGTCAGACGCAAAGCTGTCTGTTGGTGCACTGACGCTTCGCTTCCTCGTACAGACGGGCTTGGATTCACAATATACGTACAGCCATGCTATGTGCGACATGTCTTCTGCAATTGTTATTTTCTAAATTATTTTGATGAGCATTTTGTGGTTCTGTCTCACGGGGTCGTCCTCCCGTTCTCACCCAT